GTCATTTGCTTACGTCATATGTAACTGGCGCGTTCCCAATCTGAGAGCCTTATTGGCTACAACGATGCAGATGAACGGTTTGAATATTAATTCAAATTGCAGCCGCACTCAGTAGAAACTTCTGATTTTAAAAGTAGTGAAGTAGATTACATGGTCTAAATTGTACTTAAGTATGAGTAAAATTACACACTTGAAAGAAATACTAATAAAAAGTACAAGTACCCAAAAAAATCTACTTAATTACTGTAAAGTGAGTATTTGGAATTCATTACTTCCACCCCTGCAATGCACCTTCAATTTTCCAATCTTATTTTATTGAAAAACATACCCTTGAACAATATCCTAGAAACAATACAAACTTGTTTTAACTGGCCATGAGGTAGTGCTCTGAAATGTAAATGAAGCTTAGACAATTGCTGTTAAAACTAGAAAAAAATTGGTAAAATCTGTTTCTCATGTAAGTATCGGCCAATCGCCGATCACCAGGCTCTGGTTTATCGGTGCACCCTTAATCCAAGATATCCATTTATATATATTTTACCCATATACTCATCTTAAATGGATGAAGCAAAAGTTGGGCATTTGCACAAAACCAGGTATATTTCTTCTTTCGACACTTGGCAGCAGACACCTACAGGGGTTGAAGTTCCTCAAACTGTTTGCTTGTAAAGTGATGGAGACACTTCATGTGAGCCGCAGCAGTGCCACATCCCTGTTCCTGAGAGCACTTACACCTTCATCCCTCTGAAGAGACCCTTCAGAGTCGTGTAAAGCTCGGCAGAGCAGAGTGGAGAATTGTCGGGATCAATGGAAGCAATCCCCGAGAGTAGCATGAGCTCAATCCCATCTTGTTGTGAAATAAAAGGCCACTTCATCTGAAGGGTTGTGTGAGAATGGAATTATGACTCAGAGAAAAAGAGAAGGAACTGGCGGGCCTTTAACAGTGGAGTGAGTCACCCTCATATTAATTCATGTTCTCCGTCAGGGGTTGTCTGCTTGTCACCACCGTTACACCCCACAATCTCCCACCTCCCCTTTTCCATCTTGGCGGTCTCTCACAAAGACGGCTTGTGTCCGAGCGTCGTCCGTTTCGCATCTTCTCAGCTCTGATCCTGCATGAATGTCACTGCAGGGGAATTTTAAAGGAACAGGCTGGGACATGAAGAGGCCTGGAGGAGAACGAGGACCAAGACAAAGAGTGACACAAGGAACCCCTTGAAACTTCGTGGGCTCATGTTTTAGTTTCTGTGTCTTGGTTTTCATTAAGAGTTTTAGATTTTATCGCACTGTGCCCTTGGAAATCTTGGTCAGTTGAAAAGTTTCCTGGTAGTTTGCTTCTCTGCCTTGTTTTTCACATGGGTTATGTTAGCAGATTGATGCCATCTGTCCCTGTCATAAATCTCCTCCTGGGTTTCCTTTGTTTAATGTACTGTCCTCTTCATCAAAGATTTGTCTTAGTTTATCTAAGCTAAGCCTCAGTGTATTTTTTGTTTCACAGGATTCCCTGTAAATCAGCCTCTTATTCACTTTTTTGACTAAACTATCCTTGTGATCCATCTACATATTTGCTACTTTCCATAAACTTAGACTGAATGAGGTTCTTGGTATTTAGGCACAGCTTGAAGCAGGACTAAGAGTTGTCAACAGTGGGAGTTGACTGCAACACTGAGGTCAGTCAGTTAATTTGGCCGATTTCTGTCATGGTTTTTAAACACTTGACATCTGCCAGGCCTGAGCATCGTAACAGGCAAACACGTCTGAGGGCAGCTTATTTTCTTGTGCTCACCAATCAAACTGTACTACACACATTAAGGCTACCTTTAATGGCTGCATTGCGTTTGTTGGCATAACACTAGCAGATCCTCAAAGGAAGCTGACCAGAATATTTGCTAACTTTGGAAAGAATAATGTCATATCCATTAGCCCAAATGTCACAAAACCACAGCAGTGAAGGCTTAAGGATCCAAATGTGCAACTTATTGAGAGATTTAAAAAAAAAAATCCTTTTATTAGATGATCCAAATGCGCAGAGGAAAAACGAGGACTATAAATACACTGAGGGATGATGATGAGCATGAGGAACAGGTGTGCTGAGTACAATTCCAGGGCAGGTGTGACAACAAGACAAGGAGGAAAGATAGACTAAATAAGTGATACTAGAGGAAAAGCAGAAAGTAAAGTTGCCAAAACAGCACAGAAAGGATAAACAACAAGAATCACAACATCTAAACTGAAACCTAAAAAGTGAGCAACTGTGGAAGAAAGTGGTGAGGTTGATATTTCTTAAATATCTCTTTTTCCATAAATAGGCTATTCAGTTCAATATGACAATAATCAACTCGCCTGACTACAATGTTAACGCAAACCCCCATGTCATCACTTAAACCTATAAAAACAGTTTATAAACCTCCAAAAAAGCATATGTGTCACCCTCAACCAAAGAGTTTTATGTCCAAGTCCCATCACTGGTTGTTTAAGCAACAGTGAGCACCCTGTGGCGAGGGTCCAGGCCTTCAGACAGTCCATTATCAGAGGACCTTTACAGCAAACACACGGAGACAGCAGAGCGTAGCGCCCGTTGTCACCCTGTCTGGTCCAGGGCATGAGCACACAAGCTCACTAAACCGGCAGAGTTATGTCAATATTACCTTTTTTCAGAATGGCTCCACATTTATCTGGTTGCTCAATAGTAAAAAATAAATCCTATCAGGAGCTTTGTTCACTTCTAATCTTGGTTCAGAATTTTTCAGCATATTTACCCCCTTAGCCAGCGTGAAAAAATCTAAATGTCCAAAACATATAGAACATGTTAGCCATCATGGGAACAAAACAATAAATTTATCACTGTTACATGAAATTATTTGACCAATTAACTAGTTTGCTCTGCTTTGTATGATAAAGTGATCTAGTTAAAAGGTTGGAAAGTTATGGAGGAAATGCGTAAAGTAGAACTAATACATGAAATAAGTCCTTTAAGTTGGAAAGTAGAGCTGTTACTAAAATCCTTAACAACAGCTCTGACCCACTTAGATATGAAATGCACCATTAAATGCATGCACCAGGATCAACTACAGGCACACTGCAAACTGTCAACAACAATCTGGTAATATTTTGGACTTTTAACTGGACAAAACAGCATATGGTGCACATTTTGCACTTATTTTATGTTGAAATCTAGAAAATTACTGAACGCTAACTGCAAATCAGAAAATTGTTGCAATATCTACTATACTGTGAATGTAATTTACACAAACAAAGTAATTTAATGGAGAAGACACAAAATGTGCTTCACGCTGATGCAATTACAAACTTTTTCCAATATGTGGAAGTATTCTGTTTTCCAAAATAATTCATTGCACAATCTAAAAATCCCACCCCACCCTATTTCATTTAACTACAAAAGGCTCCTTGTTTTATGGGGGATGACGAGCTGAATGGCATCAAGCTACATGATCGTGATATTCCTTGACAATGCAGCTAAACGGGCTCATTCGACATCGATGACCTTTAACAAATCCCAAAAGAGGTTGCCAGTAGCTGCTCTACAGCTCAAAACATAGGCTCATTAAAAATCTCATCTGAAAAGCTGCTGAGCTCCACAGAACCTTCTGCTTTTAAGACACCTTTGACACGGGGAAGTGGCCGAGAAGCCTGCGCCGTGTTTATCCCATACTGATGAGACAAAAAGTAGGCCATTTCCACAAGTGAATACAGTAACAACATTGTTCTCATTTGTAGGGTGTCAACTATGTCTGGATTCATTTGTTGTTGTTTTTAATACAACTTCTGTTAGTTTGCTGCATATTTAGCATCAAACAGGACCTAAAAACTAACTCCCAGAATGCCACTGAAATATAACATTTAACAATAAATGCTTTGTGTAAAAACACCTAACATGACATGATTGTGCGGTAGAACCCCATTCACTGTAGCAGCTTTGTTTCGTAACGCTTTGTGAAGAAAACTGATGTCAGGCTTTAGGAGCTACAGTCTCACAGTAAGGCAGACCCTTTCAAAGCAACAAATTTTTATCAGTTTTTATAAAAAAATTTAAAGACAAGAAAAGGCGCCCATTCAACTTGTCAGTAATCTTCTACTCAAGACTTTATGATCTTTTACGTCAAGTAAAACCGTATTTGTTTCCTACGAAAGAACAATTATTGCATTGTTTTTATGTGTATCCAAGCACGGGAATGCTGACTAGGAATTTTGATATGTGCATGCTAAAATTTGTCTTCAGCTTTAAAAACGTAACTTTTAAAAAAAATCTAATAAATCTATTCATTTGTCACTTTTAATGTGTAAAACCACTGTAAACAGTGAGTTAACTATTAAACCTAAGTGTTTCATAACAATGATTGACTTTCTGCAGTAAAACCATTGGTTTGTTACTGATGTTCAGTAATGTAAAAACGTGATCTTCACATAGCATTTTCATTACCGTATTTTTCGGACTATAAGGCGCATTAAGCGAAACAAAACAGTCCAAGTCCAACTTTATTTAACTCTTTCACAATAACTCTCAACATTGTTCAGTTGTACCACATAAAATCGGTTTGAGGTCAGTAAGCACAACCAGAATTAATACATAAGACGCACCGGATTATAAGGCTCACTGTTGATTTTTGAGAAAATTAAAGGATTTTAAGTGCACCATATAGACCAAAAAATACAGTATTTTTATATTTGTGCAAAAATACAACTATATTCCTTTCAAACTTCCCAATAAAAGCTTTAAAAAATATGCCAAAAAAATGTTTAAAGTTATTATTTCGCACAACTGATGACCCACTTAAAAGGTTATTGAATTAAATCCTACAAAAAAATATATTCAGCTGGAAAACAAAATGATTGCAGATTAGTTTATGACCATTAATTCATAAACATTGTTTAAATGCTAGAATCAATATATAACATTAACAATATTGCAATAGAAACATATTTATCAGGAAATATCCATACATTTGATTGAACTTGTACAGTGCAGTGACATCACTTACCTGTTTGAAAATAAACTTGTCTTCTTGATTGAGCTGCCAGGCTGTGATGATGTGAATAGTGGACAGAACTGTTCCACTAACAACAGCAGCTCTCATTCGGACCGGCAGCAGAGTGTAGATTATATAGATGAAGAACACAGTCCACCAAATGCCCTCCGAGGCACTGCGAGGGGACACCATCAGTACCCCAAAAACTTGCAATACAATCAGAACCCCGATCACCAGGTAGTTCACAATCCACATGTAGTCTTGGTGGAAGCCGTTACGGTTGCAAACAACCATCATGGTGAGGAACAGCACCATAGCCACCAACAGTATTGAGATGTAGGCCACGTTGCGGGTTGTGTGGACGCAGTGGAAGGCAAGCATGACCCCACACATCACCACCAGCACTCCCATCAACATTGTCAAAGAGCTCTGGTTGAGTCTAAAGAAATAGCGCTGGTACAGACGTTCTAGCTTCGCTGACTGAAATTTTTTGGATTGGAAAACACTCAGAAGCCACTTCCAGCAGTCTGCTGTGGTCATCCTCTTGCAGCTGCCTTCTGCTGCTTCTTCTGATTCTTCTTTTATTGTGTCCTTCAGCATACAATCTTCAAATCCCAGGTCTCCGCCACCGACTATCCTTTTCCCATAATGGTCCTCCTGCCACCCACAGCGCAGGCCAAAGCTGCCCCCGCTGGTACCTGCTTCACAGTGGTAATGCTGAGGGGCCGCATTAGGGGTCTCTGACTCCTCCGAGTCCCTCAGGCAGCTCATGTAACGTGGGTTGCATAGTGACGAGCTGTCTTTCCTCTTTTTGCCATTTCGCTCACCCCATGCTGTCTTTTGCTCGTTCTCTCTGCCTACAAAGAGGCTTCTGGCCCACGACATCCTAAAATATTCAGAGGATACGATTTAAAAATAATCAAAAACACAAAACAGTGCCAAACATTTCCAATCCAAACGTTCATAACCTGCAGCAGATCAATTTTAGAAATGTAAAGATGTGACGGTCCTCTCACCTGTGTGTGGGCTTTGCTGTGTGTAGAAACACTGTGCTCTCTGGCCAGGCCACTAGTTTATCCCAGCAAGCAAACAACATGAGCTCAGACTGGCCAGAGGCATCAGATGTGTGTCTGTGTTTGAGCTGTTCCTCTTTTCTTTTTGTCTCACCACCTAGAATATCGGTAAGTCACCTGTTGGCCTAAAAAAGTAAAGACACAAAGCAAACAAAACGTGAGTTTGAGCAAAAAGTCCCAAGGATAAGGATCATGGCAGAGACAAAAACATTTACTGGAATCACTGGGCATGCATGCACATCGTTTTAGGACACTGAATCAGTAAATAATGTCTAGTGAATGGCTTTGCTCTCCCTCATCCCCTGCAGCGAACAGTACACTGAGACATTCACGCTCTGTTCTGCTGGCAAAGCAGTTGACATCAAAATCCCACTAATTTATATTTCCTCTTGCAGCAGGTGCAGCTGAACAATTCATCATGGAGCTGTGATGTTGAACACAGCCGTGTTATAACAAACTTTGCTGATCCTTTACCACTGAAATCTTCTGGATCACCAAGAACAATCGCTCTCAGTCGAAACAGCCCTCTGCTTCTCTCTGCCACTGCAATCTGGACCTAACATCGCGAGTGGCTCGATTTGACAACAAAGACCCACTGAGTGGACATCATCACAGATCAAAGGCTCTACGGTCCAGATTAAATCGTGCATGCTTCCCCTCATTAGCCTTGATGACTCACTATATAGCTGGCTACTGGCTGCACATGTCAAGGACACTGCTAACCTCTAAACATAAAAAGCAAATCTTTGCCAGGCTGACTCAGATGAGACTAATGGTGAGAAAAGCATGTGCAAAATGCACAAACCAGCAGCTTGTAATGAGTTACTAAATCACTTTAGTAACTAAAGGCTTTGCACTCCCTGAAGGAATGCATATCACCCACTTCCTTCCATGCCAGAGTTTTGACTAAGATCGCCTTAGGCTGACAAATGACAGAGTCGGGTTAAAACCTTAAAATAATGTGCAATCCCAAGTAATAATATGAGACTTCATGCTCAGAGTATGTGAATGACTATGAGCTCTTACCATACCAAATTCTAGCTGAGTTATAGTCATTTTTGTGTTTGCTAATATCAGTTGTCTATCTTGAATTGTTACGACTCCAAATGTGAATCAGTTTTAGATTAACAAATATTTGTTACTTTCTATGCGTTTCATTGAAACCCCATCTGCGGCTCATTAGATATTTTGCTAACAGACAAACAGGGATGACTCCAAGCGTTAATGCTAGAGTTTTAGGCAAAGATTCTGCGCAATGAATTGTGCTAAGAGTAAGTGTTGCAAATGACTCTCAGCTATAATGACAACAAATCTGAGCAAAAAATCTATACAATTGACTACAATGCAGTCACGTTTGTGTATTCTAAGGTCAGTTCGTTGCGGCGGCCATCTTGAATTGGGTTGGTTCCAAAGGTTTATCGAGTGTAGATTTAAATCCAATAATTATTTCCTGAAAGTCCATTGGTTCATGAGATATTTTGATAAAATGCAGACACAGTCGATTGCAAATAGTTAATGGCAAAATGGTAAACAAAGATCTTGCACAATCTTACTCTAACTCCAATCATCATAAAGTGCTTTGAGAGGATTGTCCTAAAGCACATAAAGGACGTCATCCCTGCTGGTCTGGACAGCCATAAATTCGCCTATAGGGAGAACTGATCAACTGAGGATACAGTCTCAATTGCACTACATGCAGCACTGTCCCACCTGGAGCATCCTAACAGCTATGTCATGCTATTTGTGGACTTTAGCGCAACTTTTAATACAGTAATTCCAGAGAGGCTAGCACTGAAGCTTCAAGAATGTCTGACAGTCTAGTCTGGATTAGGGACTTCCTCCCCAATAGGCCTCAAGTGGAGAGAAGTGGAGGCCGGACATCATCATCACTGGTCCTTAATACAGGCGCACCGCAAGGTTGAGTGCTTAGCCCAGTTCTCTTTACTCTGTTTAGACACGACTGCACTGCCATCCACCCCACAAACACATTTGAGAAGTTTGCAGACGACACCACCTTAGTGGGTCTCATATTGAACAACGATGACACACTAGACAAGACGGTGTTCTGAAAATATCTTTGCCATGAACACCCGCAAGACCAAAGAGGTCTAGGAAGACTGAACATGCTCTTCTCCTCAAGGAGAGGTGGTGGACCGCGTGGACAGAAACAGATTCTAAATCAGTTCTGACCTGACCTAAACACCTCCCACTTGGCAAAGAAGGCCCAACAGAGACTTTTCTTCCTAGGTAGGCTGAAACAGGCTGGACTCTCTTCTCAAGTGTTTGCAAACTTTTACAAAGCCACAATAGAGAGCATCCTCTGACTCAGTGCATCAGTGCGTATGAGAGCTGCACTGCACAAGACAAGAAGGACCTGGCACGGGTGGTGAAAATGGCTCAGTGGATTGTAGCAGAAAGGTATTGTAGAAGTGCATCCCTACCAGATCTGGACCTCCTCTATGAGGGCCAGGTACAGAGAAAAGACAGGCGTATCACTGCAGACCCAACCCATCGTGGAAATGGACTGTTTGTGCCTCTGAGAAGAGGTAGCATATATAACATTAAAAAACACAAAGAGTTAGACTGAGACACAACTTCTTCACTAGGGCTGTGAGATCTATCACCACCTCTGCTCTACCCCCTAAAATAAACTGTTTGTCAATATCCAATCATAACAGTGAGATATCTGATCAGAATGTTATTTACACACTGTCCGCAGTTCAGCAAGTGAGCCACGCTTTGTGTAATAACTCAGTATTTCACTCACCTCTAATACATAGAGGAGGACGAGTCAGCCGCCTCTTATATAACCCAATTTGCAGCCAATATGCAGGCATCTATCATGAACTGGATCTGAATCACATGAGTCAGCCATCCAGCATGCATTACAAATTAAGATGGCCATGCTGGCATTTTGGAGGGAGGGGGGCTGACAAAAAGGCTATTGTTATCTTGTTTTGCTTTTTTTTTTTTTTCCTTAAGTTTAACATGGATCATTAGTGCTGCTGCCATCATTGTTGAGGCTGGTGATGGAAAACATATTTAGCAGTAACACGTGTAGGCCCTGCCGGTGTGGTTGCGGGCAGAAGCGCATTACATAACCGGACGCACCAAAGTAGCCTACTGGGAAAGTCGATTGCTCTCTCTGTATCTGTGTGTGTGTGTGTGTGTTCACACCTTTAACCACAGTTACACAAAAGGAAGGGAACGGTAAGTCAGGCTCAAGTGTGTGAGCTGCTCGACACACATACATCTTTACTAACTTAGGAGTAAAAGATTCAGCTTCACTCTTGGCACAGTTGCGATGCCTAATGATGAGTCCGTGTTCATCAGCTGCATGTGTTGCAGTCCTGCAGAAAGTGTCCTGACTCCTGGCTGCTCAGCGCCGACGCAGCCAGAACAGAGAAAGCACAAGTCAGCTGTTGGCATGTCAGTCCGCCTGCTGTATCATCTGACTGCATTTAGTTCAGCCAACAAACTGACACTGAACGTGCGCGCAGCCGCTAAAGCCCCAGCGACAGAGAGGGAGGCAGCGTACTTACCATCCGATGTCCATGTTCTGTATGGATACACGAGCGCAGCGCCGCTTCGGCTCTGCCCGGCTCCTCAGCCCTCACGCAGCCGCCGCGGCTCGCTCCATGACGCGGTCGCAGTGTCCGGCTGGAGGACGGCGGCTCTGGGAAACTGGGTAATGAGTGGGAGCGACCTTCGCTCTTCCCAGTCAGAGCTCGGCACTACAGTCCCGACGCCTCTCTCACCCTCTGGCTCTCTCACGCACGCACGCACGCGCGCACACACACTATCTCACACACATGGAAGCTGCTATCCTTACGAGGACAGTGCGTTAACTTCCATGGACAGTGTGTGAACCTAAAGGTTTCTACTAACTATTAATTGTCATATTGTAGCTTAGCGCTAACCAGAACCCATTCACAGTGACGTCAGGTCTACTTTGGACCGGGTTCTGAGCCCATTCAGGTCAGTTGTCCCGGCAAGGTCAGTCATTTTGTCCCAGAAAAGGTCCCAATGATGGAACAAACAACAGGAACGCGCGCGCGCACGTTTGTTATGTTTGATCATGCGCAGATAGCGCTCCCTAGTGGTGATTTGATGTGTTGCTGGGCTGTGGGATTTACAAACTTTTTTATTTTCCTTTTTAAAACGTGTAATTAATTAATTAATTAATTTATTTATTTGTTTATTTAGTTATTTCGTTAAATTATTGTTATATTATTTTATTTTTACAAATCGTTTTCAATTTTAAAACGAACATTTCATATAGATGCAAGTAAATAAACAGAGTATAAACTCTACAAATACAAACACACACACA